GGGGGAAATGGGGAATTGAGTGAAATTCCCCAAAAATTCTTTAACTCCAGTCCAGCCCTTGGGACGGCACAGCCATTAACATGTCAATTTAGACAAGGCTGAAGTTTGTCTATCTGTATGTTAAAGTGTGCGTATGTTTTCACTTATTGGTGTATACTGTACAGTGTACAGTATTGTATTGCTATGTTCTCTAATATGTTTTCCCATATTTCAACAACGTACATTGTTATATATATATTATATTGTATAATAGGGTAATTTATCCAAGTTGAGAACAGAAGTATATAACAAACTTTTATACAATACAATACAATACAATACATTATTTTGCAGATAATAGCAAGGAAGGTTTTTTATACTAAACCGAATTCTGTAATTGTACGTAGCAGGTACGTTGTACAGTTTGCAATGTACAATAGGAAAATTGAAGATTGTGCTATGTAAGGTACATAGTTACAAACACTGAACATTGTATTATAGTGAAACACTCTCTGATCCTTTTCATCTTAAATTATTCCTCCAAAACCAATTCTGTCCGTCGCTCGATACCATACCGAATCCACATCTTATGACCCCCCCCCCCCCTCCCCTCTTAAATAATAAATAATAATGTAATGTATATAATATACATATAAAATATATATAATTCAGATAAACGTATTTTATTTTAATAGTCTAGACTTTAGATTCATAAGTTTGAAGTAGTTTGAAGTTCTCGTGTTGCGAAGTGCGTGTGTACCATAATACAACCCCCATATATTTGACATGTTTTGTCTACATAAATTGCTAGTGTACTGTCTTGGAGGAACGTAAACAAACTTGGTGCCTTTGAGTTCTAGTTTTGTATAAATCCTGCCTACAAACTGCAGTACACTTAGTTTGTAAACAATTAAATGGGTGTTCCTGATTGATCTTTCTTGGGATCAAGGAAATAAAGAAACCTCAATTTATATTTATTCCACCGACTACACAGACTGCTTATCTCCTTTCACAGGGTGGGCTACGGAGGCCTAAGTTGACCCGGCACGATATGCTATATTTTTACAATAGGTTTTTAGAGTGCCATCTCACGGCCACTTGTTGAATGTATAATACCCATTCATGGGTAAAGTTTTACAAGTTTTGAAGAAATACTCCAATTTTAAACATGAAATAACATTTATGAATTCAGTCTTTTTAAAAAAAATTTTGTGTTTCCTATCCAAAGCATCCTTAAATATCCCTGAATACAGATGTTTTCTGATTGGTCGTGTACAGTACTTGTACACAATAGAACATACTGTGGAAAATATCGCATATTTTAGCTGATAATCGATCTCTGTAACTCTCGTATCTCTGATATGTTCTTTTAAATAAAGGAACCTCAATATGTACTGTAATCCCAATTTATATATATTCTTTTGAAAACCTTGGTAGAATACTTAATACACGCGAATATTAAAAACTGTTTAATAAATCAATTTATTATCAAAACATTCAAGTGCAAAATCAAATTAAAAAATTACACATATATATTATTCATAATCATAATAATCTAACTTTTTCTGAAATTTTCCTTATTTTACAGATTTTTAAAATTAAATTTCAAATCAATGAAAATAAAAAGTTGAGTTTTACATCATTCTGGGTTATAGCTTTCGGATTGTGAACAACAAATTTGTAAAATTTTTCCAAATTGTACAATTGTCTTCAGATAGCACAGTGAAAGAATTTACAAATTGTGGAAATGTGCACCACGGAATACACATAAAACTGAGCAGCATTAGTTAATTTTGATTGTGTACCAGTACAGTACAGTACAGTACAGCAAAGTACAGTCCAGTACAGTACAGTACAGTACAGTAAAGTACAGTACAGTACAACACAGTACAGTAAAAGTACAGTAATGTACAGTACAGTAAAGTACAGTACAGTACAGTACAGTACAGATTTGTATTTGATCGACTAGAATAAATATCACAGTAAACGTATGTACAACAACACAGCCTTGTCATTTAACAACAATTATTTTTTTACATTTTCCTCCACTATTTTTAAAGAAAATCCCATAATTTCCCAATTTTTAAAATTATGATTCCATCTATGAAGCCAATCCTACCGCTAAAAGGATAAATTGCAGTAACATTAATATGTTGTTAAAAAATCCGTTTAGAGGAAGTTTTTGATATTAATTTTGTGCATTTTAGGGTTTTACTCAAATCAGATGAAAAATTCAATCGTATTTTAAAATTTTGTTTTGTATATATGTTATTTAAATTTGTTCAAGGTGTATTTGACACCGATCAACCAAATTTACAATAATACCGATTAAATATTTTATTTTTACAAAAAGTATTACGCTGGCCCTAGGGGATATAATTGACCGAATGGCTGAATTCCAAAATTGGTGTATTATGGTATATATTCATTTTTAAGGAAACAAGAGAGTTATGGAAGCAATTTCTTGCTTGTAAGGAACATTCAGTGAAATTATGTTGTTCAAAAATATCATGTGGTGAGGTTTTGAAATTGGATTAAATTATATACAAAGTAAGTAAGTCTTTGCCACAAACTTAAATTTTCTTTTCCCTTAAAATTTTATTCTATTTAATCTAACAGAATTCTTAGTGTGAAAATGGGTTGCAAAGATGAATGGCTTAGAAATTTAGAGTTTGTGGCAAAGCCTCAATTCATTTGTTTCTTTTCATATAGAAAAAAACTACTTTCTATAACATAAATATTATCATAGAAATTTAGATGCAAATTGGAACAATCACTTTGCAACAAGATTTGCTTTCAGTTCATAAACTTTTTATCTTTGTATTGCACAAGCTGCTCAATGAGTTTAATTAAGCTCTTTCAGATATTTAACCTTGAGTTTTTTTCTACTAAAACTTTTTCACTTTTTCAAAACATTTTTGATCCTTTTAAAAATGAAGTCACTTTTTTTCTTTGAAAGTTTTTGTTCTTAATTTCACTAACTTTTGACCTTTTACAAGTCATAATTCACAACCTTGTTTAAACATTATTTCTGGTTTGCTGTCTCGTCTCCGAACCTCTCAACCCCTGAAAATGGAAATTTTAGTTTTTCTTAAAATAAAAAAAGATCTTTTATAAGCGTTCTGCAGAAAAAGAAAAAAGATGGTTAAAGGTTTAGTCGAGATTAGAGTGGTGAGTCTCAATTTTTTTATGTCACAATAAACTGTTGCTAACTACATTTAGACAGTAATGTTTGTTGTTTAAATGAGGGGAAGGGGGGGGGGTTAATTTACAATCTATTGCGCAAATAATTGTTAGTTTCATCTCATTTTTTTTTGCTGTTCTATTCAAACTTTGAAAGATATTTTTTTTGAGAAATTTTTTTTTTACCTGGTCCTGCCTTCTACCCAGAGAATGGAATCCTTGAATATTTTTTCCTCTTTCCTCCCTCGTTCTCATAGTTCTCCCTCGACCCTCTCCCTTTCCCTCTCCTTTCCCTCGCAGGTATCCCTCGCCACGTGCACATCTTCCACGAGTTTCTCCGGGCCGGGACACAGTGTACACTCCAGATTTGGGGTCTATTGAGTACATCGTGTTCCCGCCAACAGAGTATAGATTGGGGTCTACAGTGTACACGCCAGACTTGGATTCCATCTAAGAAAATATTTAATTAAAGATAATATTATTGACCCCTCCCCCTCTGATTCCCATGTTTGATGTCCAAATATAACAAATGATACATCATTGGAAGGCTCTTTAGCTTTACTTTAAGAATCTGCAGCAAAAATGTGCAAATTTGAAAATTTTTATTTTTTTTGCAAAATCCAGATAGTAAAAATGTTTTCCAAAAAAAAATGTCCAAAAATGATAAAATAACTTTTTGAAAAGCCTTTGACCATGTTAAGTGCATCTCAAGAAAATTAGCTTGTTTTGCAAAAAATGCGACATTTAAATTTTTTTAAAAGATTTTAGTCCATAATTATAAAATGTATTTTCAAATTGAATATTTGAAATAAAACAAAAATTGCAAAAATTTAAACAATTTTTTTTTATTAAACATCCTTTGAGTTTTGGAAGACATTGTTAGACAAGATGTTAAAAGCTTAATTTGAATATATTTCGGTAGAAATTTCTCTAACTAATTGAGAAGTCACCTAATTTCTTAACACAAGTTTAGTTGAGAAAACATGTTTGAACTCTTTAAGTTTGAAAGAAACTCTTCAAAGACCTCGTTAATTAAACACGTGACAGGTAGTGCACAGAAAGACGACTTATAATATATATTTAACATCAAGGAAAAAACAGTTGTACATATGTCTACACTTAAAACACACAGACTCAGTTCAGTTTATAAGTTTATCTTCAAACTACTGGTAAAAATATTTCTTTTACAACAATATCAAATACACATAAAATGATTTAAATATCGTCTTCTTCTTCCACAGTTTTAAGGATCTCACTGTGAGGATACGTATAATATATCCACTAATGATATAACAAGAAAGCCGATGTAAAACAATTAACGTAATTACAAGAAACCCTCCATTCTTGCTTGCATGTGGTTCCTTTAAACCTATCTTTTACGCAATAGCTGAGATATTCTTGTTTTTTTTTCTGTTAAAATTTAAGAGTTTTAATTGAGGTTTCGCTACAATAGTCACTCGTTGAAGGAGAAGGAATGTAGTTTACAGAATTCAACATGTTTAAAAAACCTTCCTAAATCTTGTTCAAATTATTCATGATATACTGTTGTAAATCGGGCGTGCAACTTTTTGATTGAAGTATCACTTGTTGAAATAGCGTAAACAGTCCCTTTAATGACAGAATTAACCCAAAAGTAATTTAATTTAAGTAATTTTACGTTTATAGAATCCTATTACCTGAACACAATGGTTTATTATACCCTTTAAAATCTTTATTCACATTTAAAATTTTAAACTCTATAAGTTGTACAATATAGTACAGAATTGGAGTTGAAACCCTTTTAGATTTCATTTTTCTGTTATGTTGTACTTGAAAACGAACAAAACTAGTTTTTATAAGTTGTCTAAAAAATTAATACTGAAATTAAAAGAATTTTGCCACCACCAATCACGGATTACGCACTTGATCGCTTCAAATTTAAAGTTTCAAAGGAATTGAGTCTTTGCCACAAACTCTGATTTTTAAATCCCTATATCTTAATAACCCATTGTTGTAGACCTTAGATATTTCAAACTATGACTTCTGTTATATCAAAAATCAAAGTTTAAAATAGCAAAGGTTTACATAGTTTGCTTGTAGATATATATGGGTATTAGAAAATTGAGATTTGTTGCAAAGACTCGATTCCTTTGAACTGGTAGATTTTTACTATTCCAATAAACAAGTTTAGACCTGTGATAAAACTTCAAATGCACTAAAGTTTTCAGTGAAGCACCATTGCAAAGGAATTAAGTTTCAGCCACAAACTCAGATTTTCTATGACCTTTATCATTTCAACCCAGTGTATTAGACCTTAAATATTTCAAACTATGAATAGATCAAATAATCTAATTTAATTTGAATATCTTTAAAGATATAGAGGGGATTAGAAAATTATAGTTTGTGACAAAAACTCAATTCCTTTAAAGTTTTCGCTTTTAATTGTCAAATAGATTCTAGTACAATAGATGGCAACGTTATAGGAATTGTAAACTCTTAGTAAAGCTGTTTTTTGTCCGACAAAACTATTAATAATTGTGATAATTTTAGACTAAAGTGCTTATCTTACATTAAAATTTTGTGTTCTTTATTTTCATTTAATGTGAGAAAATTTCGTTTTTCTTGTTATATTTGACACTTGTGACGTCGTGTATGATTGATCCAAATGTATCTGTTTCCACCCATTGTACTTAATAATCTATTTGTTAATTGTGATAAAACATTTGGAAAACCACCTGTTCTAGAATAAGCCTATGGGTTCGAAATTTACTCTGCTCCTGAGTCTCCTCAGCTACTAATCCTTAACAAAAAATTTTTGTTAAAGGAACTTTGGGGGTAATTCTAACTTCTTTCAAAATCGGCTTTTAACATTTTTATTCAATTATGGATTTCATCAGTCATAAACAGAACACCTTTTCTATACAGTATGATCCAGTGATTAGCTTTTAAATAATATATCTGTTGGATGGTTCTAACACATTTATAGTAGATAAAAAACATGTTTGTCACATTAAAGACCACTTTTAGTGTCTCATAAATTATTAGAAGCAACATTTGTAATGATTCCATTACTTTTTAACTAGATCAGACAACATTTTGGGAATAACATGATTACTTTAATACATTTCTAATGCTTTAATTATGATACAAGATAATCAACAAATGCTGCGTAAAAAAGACGATTTAAACAGGAAAAGATGCTCACCTGTATTACTTGAACTGCTGCTTGTGTATATACTTTCCTCCTTTCTACAAATTAAACAACAAACATATTTTACTATTTTTAACAATTGTGACAGTAGTTCTACAAGTTACTCTTCCTTTAACACCATGCCCAGTGAAAGATATTGTCGTTTTTCTAGCTGAAAAATTGTTTAAATCTCGTATTTTTCATTGTTTCTAAAGAAAGCCAAGACACTTTTAGATAGCACACTACTCTGCACCGCTTTAGTAATTGTAAATTAGCGGTACAGACCAAAGTTGAACTGCACACGGGCAACTGTAGTACATTTGAATTTCCGAGCCGGGTCATCCTTTCCGGTCCCAGTTTGTACTGTACCTAGCTCTATGGACAGGACTAGCTGGTGCAACAAGGTTGACGCGGTCAGACTTGATGCTTCATTTAGGTTGAATTTACTTTTACTAAAGGGGCAGAGGTGCGTGTGCAATTAGGTTGGCCCAGCTCGGATATTCAAATGTACACAGGTGGGGCGTGAGAGACCACAATATAAAATGATCAATTGTAAATAGAGAATTCATGATTATCTTATGTATTCTTGATCAGACAACGTTTTTGAAAATAATTATAAAATGGATAGCTTTCAATATTTTAGAAAATTCATTTATATTTTTGCTTCTTAAACAATCTTAGCTTTGCAGTCTTCTGAAAAAAGTTGAGAAATATAAATATGAAATTAAAATGTTGACAGACAAAAATTTAAAATAATTTTCCCATGAAGTCTTGCTTGAAGGAAAACTTTACTAAATTAGTTATATTGACTTTAAAGGGGGTTTTAAATTATTATAAATAAATATATTGTTGTAATCCCTGTCCGAAGTTAGATCACTCCATTCCTCAGTGAACCCTGAATCCGTTGGTTCATATTGTAAACTTTCAGGTTCAGCATATACATGACCTGAATAACAATAATAATAATTATAATAATAATAGTAATAATAATAATAATGAAATTTTAGTCCTGAAGTTAACGAATCTTTGATATTTCTTTTATTTATGATTAAATGTGTTTATATGATCGCTATACTCATTTGAAACTTTCTATGGTAAAGTTTTTCGTTGTTTTGAATAAAATAATGGCGGTCAATCTTTTTAGATTGGAACGTGTATCCCCCAACCCGAGCACAGATTTACTTGAGAGGAAGATCTAAAAGAAGTAGATCTGAGTCGAGAGTTTATGAGGGTTGTGAGAAGTTCCAATCAACTGAAGCGGAGCTCGGCTAGGTGTGATATCTCAAGGAGTATCTAGATATTTTGAGCCTGTTGATAACCTAGCTTAACAGTCTTTATACACTTACACTATACATCAAATATATGTTTTCAAATATTCCTTGTTTAAAAGTTTTCAAAATACTATTGGATGAATTTCCAACAACTTGTTTAACTTGTCAGTACGTGTTGGAAAAAGAAAGGGTTCGGGGGATTTTCTAAAATTTACAAAGAGATCTTTAAAGCACAGTATGTCCCCAAAAACATGAGTTGTCCTTTGATTGAGTTGCAACTTGCTAAAATGGCAGAGAGGGGGTTCAACAATGTCGATATGTGATTTCAAGTAACCATCCGGTTAAAAATTTACAAGTCCAATGCACAACGAACTCCTTTAAACCTTTGCCTTACTCAAATAAAAAATTAAAGGGTACCGTTCTGAATCGGGCATTTAACACTTTGATTGTAGAGTCAATAGAAAGCACTTCATCAACCCTTTCAACCAATAAATAATATTTTCAAGAATATTTTTCCAGATTTTTAATTATTTGTTGACACCCTGTATATCAGGACAGGTGTTTTTACTCTAACCTTCTTCATCTAATTTATACTGATAACTATAGACATGTTACCACTTTACAGTAGTAACAATATCCTAGCAATTCACAACGCTTTACACCACTTTACATTAGTAGCAATATCCTAGCAATTCACAGCGCTTTACACCATATTAATTAGTAGTAACAATATCCTAGAAATTTACAGCGCTTTACACCATCTTAATTAGTAGTAACAATATCCTAGCAATACACAGCGCTTTAACCCTCTTAATTAGTAGTAACAATATCCTAGCAATTCACAGCGCTTTATACCATCTTAATTAGTAGTAATAATATCCTAGCAATACACAGCGCTTTAACCCTCTTAATTAGTAGTAACAATATCCTAGCAATTCACAGCGCTTTACACCCCCTTAATTAGTATTAACAATATCCTAGCAATTCACAGCGCTTTACACCCCCTTAATTAGTAGTAACAATATTCTAGCAATTCACAGCGCTTTACACCCCCTTAATTAGTATTAACAATATCCTAGCAATTCACAGCGATTTACACCCCTTTAATTAGTAGTAACAATATCCTAGCAATTCACAGCGCTTTACACCCCCTTAATTAGTATTAACAATATCCTAGCAATTCACAGTGCTTTACACCCCCTTATAATTAGTATTCGATCGATCGATATATAGCTTGTTGCATATCTAGGTTTGTGTCCTTGTGTGAATACAAATATATATGACAGCGCATGAGGAGTTAGGCCCGCGGAATAGGACTAACCCGATCTGCAACGTCAACAGGTTACACACATGATAGATATAAACAGGTTTAAGTACTTGTATAAATCTTATTAAGTGTAGATTTTAGATACCATTTATTGCACGTATTTGTGGTTCCCAGATACCACAAGCGATATATAGCTTGTTGCATATCTAGGTTTGTGTCCTTGTGTGATATTTAGAGCGGATTGTCCCCATCATTTGGGATCGATATGTAACATTTTGGAAAGCTAGGCTTGTGTCCCTTTGTAACATTTAGAGCACTGAATTGATAGCTTGTTTTGATAGCTACGCTTGTGTCCCTGTGTGGCATTATAAGCCAGGTGAGTTGTGTCCTGGAGGACTTTGATAGCGGACAGGTTGGACCTGGATAGATACATTTTCGAGAACTTGTTATGGAGTATGGGTTTACCACAACTCTAACCCTTCTAAACCGTCAATTTTTTATCTGAATCTAGTTTAACATTCATGGGTTCATTTTCATAATTTAATTTCTAACACTTTAAGTTTGAGTTCAACAGGAATCAAACTTTTTATGAAAGTTGTCAATAAATGAGAAATCAGAAAATCATCCGATGAATCCGCGAAATGTGGAAGAAAACTTATAAAATGAATATTTCTATAAAACATTGGTTTGCAAAAAAACTTTGTTTATTTCACTATTACTATCATCTCAGCAAAAAAAAACACTTATTTTTAAAATATTTGATTTCAATTTTAGATAATCTGCACAATATATAAGGCTTTAGGTAAAAAGTATTTTAGCTCAATGGGTGCTTCACAAAAAATATTTTAGCTCAATGGGTGCTTCACAAAAAATATTTTAGCTCAATGGGTGGTTCACAAAAAATATTTTAGCTCAATGGGTGCTTCACAAAAAAGGCCGAATTTCTTAGAAATAACTGCAAGAATTTTACATTTGTACCATGCATTTTTCGCAAATTGGCAATTAAAGAACGGGTTCTCTTTAAAACTCTAGAATGTTTTCCCCTCTCCTTTATTTCCAAAAATATGGAATTCGATTGAATTAGAGCTGAAAGAAACTAAATCTGCAAAATCGTTTAAAAGAAAAGTCGCCAAGATCTATTTAGATAGTTATGCAAATTATATCTGTAAAAAAAACTGTGTATCATGTGGATAAACTTAGTCTTTACTATCTTCTTCACCCTGTAGTTAATAAACATGAATTTAATAACATATATTCCCTCTGTTCCAACCCTTACGCTGAGTATCCTCCCTTTCACTTATACTCCCTCAACTCCTCCTTGCCTTTTTCCTGATTTATCATCATTCTTATGTTTAAAATGTAAACAATGTACATTGTTTTTATTTGCCATTCTCATTCGTTTATACTCTGGTTAGGCGGGTCTAAACTACAGAGTAAATTGTGATTTTTTTATTTGTATTATCTCTTGCTTTGTAGTTGAATAAAAATATGAAAATATGATATCTGAGATAGGGTTCAAAAGTATTTAAGAATTATCGTATTGCCAGTCCTAATCTGTTGTGGAAACTTACATTAGCCCAAGCGAGGCTTATGGGTATGCCTGCTCAAAATTTAAAAAATCAGCCTCAAAATTATCTTGATTTAAAAAGTTAGGAAAACCGTTGATAAAAAACAGGATAAAATGAAACTTTTTAATTGATATTTTTATTTCAACTATATAAAAGGCTTGCAGACATATTAGAAATAAGAGAACTAGAAGATTATCATCAGAAATATATGTACGCGAAGCGCCCTGTGAATAAAAGATACATTTAAGCTTAATTATCTGAAAATCTTTGAAGAGTGGACAAAACCTGATGGAAATGCAGAACTTAATTATATTATTTTAGAAAACATTTGCGGCATTTTGGTCTCCATTAGTGTTGAAAGACTGGAAAGATTGGCGCCATTTTCCCGGGAAAAACAGCTGATTATATATTATCTAGTTGTTATTCTTAGACTTTCATTATCTCAGCTTTTTAGAAGAAATTGACAAAATTCGTGGAAAAAATTCCAAACAAATTCTTTAAAATTAAATTGTTTAAACTTCGGATTTATATTTTCAACACATTGAAGAAAATTGATGAGGATTTGTTTATCTTTTCAGAATTAAATGTTGTTTTAACATTTGTATTGAAATCATTGAATTAATCAAATATTTTCCCCTCAAAAGATGATCATAGCATTCTTACATTGTGCATGATGTAAGGAGAGGGGGGGGGAGCACATACAATTTTTCCTAATTAAAGTATCTGCAAATGTTGACAAAATATGCATTTTATTAAATGGCTGCATTATAAGTGGATATTTTCATAAATATGAAAGAAAAAATATGATCAAAATAATTGGGGGGGAAATATCATGAATAGATTTATTTTTTTAACCTTCCATTGATAGTTTGAATATGCTTTAAAGTTTCTCAAAGGCCTAGTTATTAGATTTACTTTAATTAGATCCGTCCTGGGGGGATTCCCGGGGGGATCTAAAGAGACGAAGGAGCCCAGGGGGGGGGAATCTGGAGAGGGAACCCGGGGGAAACTTTGTAGAAAAGTTTTCATCCTTTCAATCCCCTAGATCAGTCCCCTCTCCATCTACCTTATAGACTTTAAACCTGGGTTTAGCATTTATACTCTTAGGCTTTTTAAAAACATTTAATTTGTCTACAGTGAACCCGAAAAAAAACTGTGGAATAGGAAGACGAATTTTATTACGATATAATGAAATAAGCAATTCATAGTCCGAATTTAATGAATTTGGGCATCTTCTCAAATCCCCAAAAAACCGTTTTCAATTGAGCGCTGGCTTAAACCTTGAAACATTGAATACAATTCTAAGTGGAACCAACCATAATTGAGCCGCGGCTCAAAGTCTGTAAATTCTGCCTCAGAAATCATAAAAATACTCAAAATGGAATTTCAATCCCGACTTTACGATAGGTGAACAATCCCTTTAAACATACTTAAATAGGTGAACAATCCCTTTAAACATACTTAAATAGGTGAACAATCCCTTTAAACATACTTAAATAGGTGAACAATCCCTTTAATCATACTTATTTAGGTGAACAATCCCTTTAATCATACTTATATAGGTGAAAAATCCCTTTAATCATACTTATATAGGTGAACAATCCCTTTAAATTGAACAATGTTACCTGATGGGTTAGAGCAGTGATTTGACCAGTTTCTTCTAAGAATCGGTCGCTCCGGCGTTGAGATCCCTGAGAGTAGGTCAGCTTGTTGTTCAAGATCACCTTGACGGAGGTCAGATCGGTGGTCTCCGGTTTGCTGGAGGTCAAGAGGATGGAGGTAGAGGGAGTGAGAACTGAAACCTCGAGGTCGGGATCCTGGTTTATATGTAGAGTAGCCTAGGATACAATATATCTAATTCATATTCATGTTTATTGATATATTCCACTGCTAACCAAGATGTGCAAGTTCTCACACCGTTGCGACTGTCGAATATTTGATGAATAACTTTCATAGTTGTCTAGATATCAGTGTTTCATGTTCATGTTCATGTTCATGTTCATGTTTATATAAACAGGGTTACCCACAAAGGATAAGAATTCAGAGACGACTCTACAAGATGTATACTGTCTGTTTCCTTATATGTATTCTTAATTCCTGGCAACTTATTTTATTCTTTGTCAAATAGAAATCGTTACTTTTAAAGAGTTTCAGGTCGTCTTTTCAGTCTTATTCTTTGTGGTCAACCCTGTAAACCATAGTCTTCTTTTCTTATAATAGATATATGTATATGTATTGTATATTGATATATTAGATATATAAGATATATTCCTGTAATAGATATATATATATTGTATATTGATAAATTAGATATATTAGATATATTCCTGTAATAGATATATATTTATTGTATATTGATATTGATAAATTAGATATATTAGATATATTCCTGTAATAGATATATATTTATTGTATATTGATATTGATATATTAGATATATTCCTGGATGTATCCGACACACAGTCCCTGGATCTTCCAGACAAGCAAAATCCTCTGATCCATCAACGTCCAAACCGGTTTCCTAAACAAAAACAAGGATCTGCACAAACCGGTTTTGGGTGTAAAAACATGACAGGATTGGACCGAGGGATTAGGGGAGTAGGGTGCAGGGATTTCTGTATTGGATAAAAAGAAATGGATTGAATAATGGGGGATGAACGGGAAGGATTGGCAAATGATTGATTAGAACCAATGAGGTGGGAAAACCAAACATTTAGATTAAAGGGAATGTCAACGTAATTTCAGGTGACCATCCATCGACACTCCGATTGACTGTGGTACCCTTTTAACAACATTTATGGAAATATAATGAAAAATCGTTGTTCTTCTCCTGGACATTTTTTAAGTTAGAGAAAACGAAGTAATCTTTGTCATTGTTATACATCGCCACATCGGGAATTTAAAAAGTTTTTAAATGGAAGGATACACTTAAAATTACGTAAACAGTGTCCGAATTTAATGAATTTAAGCCACGTCTTAAATCCCCAAAAAACCGGTTTTAATTGACCGCCGGCTTAAATCTTGACAAATTTAATACAAATTTAAGTTGAACTAACCATATTTGAGCGGCGGCTTTAATTTAAACCGCGGCTTAAATTTTTTAAATTTGGCCTGAGTCCCTTAGAAAGTGCTCAGATTAAAAAGGTTGGTTATCTTTGACAACGGATTGGGTGAGAAAAGATGAGATGATTAAAAAGGAGATTTTTGAAGAATTTACATCGGACATTGAATTTATTAAGAATATGTTTATAAACTGTTGCAGTGAATGGAAAAATGGAAATTATGCTGATCGAAGATTTCTTTCTCAGATTTTTTATGCGTAATCAGTTTTTTTCAAAAAGGATAGGGAGGATAGGAAGGACAGGAAGGATAGGAAGGATAGGATGGATATGAAGTTAAAAGTCAATTATGGGGGAAAACGTTAAATAAATCTAAAACGTAACTGTTTAAAAACACTATGTAAAAAAATGTCAAATATTTTTTGTTTTTAATTAAACATTCATGCATCAAACCAACTTATGCAACAGTTTAGTTTAAATTAAACAAATGTTAGTAAAACAGTGCAGAAATAATCATAAACATCTAGTGCAATGTATCTCAAAGATAAATCACAGCTCTTTTCAAAACGGTTTTCCTAATTTTTAAAAAGAATTATAAAAAACACCAATGTTGCTTAAACAGAGTTTTCAAGGGTACATTCTGAATCCGGGAAGTAGCTTCAAAACTAGTCTGGTTAAAAAGTATCAGAAAGCGGGATGTGGTTGAACTAGGTTCGGAGAGTTGAACTACTCATATTGTGCACTCACAACCACACTGAAAAAGTAGTTAAGTTATCCGTACCCAGTTGAACTACATCTTACTCTTCATTAATTCCTGACTGAGTAGTATCAGGGTTACCTTTAAAGGATGTAACTTCAGAGACAACTGTATTTAATCCTATGTTTATAGGTCCCGCAGCTCTAATTCATTTATTTCTTGTAAAGTTTAAACTTCAGATAATTATATTTCGAGTTTTGCAGGTCGTCAATAAAGTCTCATCCTTTGTGGGACCCCCTGTATTATATCTTACATGATTATTAATGTAGGAGAAGGTTGTATGTGTAGTATGTGAGGAGGTGGACCCCCTTAAATAGGAGGTAGATTGGGGTTTACAGCACCAGAGACAGGAGCGGGCACCCCCCTTCCCCTACAAGATAATTATGGTCTAAACAGCTCCCTGAACACCCATTTATTGTAGAACTGTCTTTATTAGAGACACCCTTTTCCAATGTCCGTTGGATTAGATTTTAAGCGTTAAAAGTGCCCCCCCTTTCTCTCCTGTGTATCTTAGACATGCCTCTTAACAATCTTTAGCTTTTCCTATTTTTTAAATGCCCTTTGGTGATTTAGATGTTCTGATTTACTTTAAACCGCCATTTTTTAACACTAAATGGAGAATATATGTTTTTCTGTTTTGAGTATTATTTGTTTATGTTAAGAGCAGATTTCTAAACTAGGCCATTTATTTTTAATCTATGTTAAGAACAGACAACTCGACTATTTATTCTGTTATTTTATTTGTCTATGTCAATAATTGAAAAGTAACTACTAGGTCAATTCTATTACTTTTTTACTGTTCTTATGTTCTGTTATTAGTCTATGTTGTAAACAGCCAACTAAGACTGTCTCTTCTGTTCTGTAATTAGTCTATGTTATAAAAACCAACCATAGACTATCTCTGCTGTTCTATCAATTGTCTATGTTAAAAACTGTCAACTAGACTGTTCCATGAGTTCTATCATTTGCCTATGTTATAAACGGAACCATAGACTATCTCTTTTGTAATATCATTTGTCAATGTTACAAACTGTCAACTATAGACTGTTCCATCTGTTCTATAATTTGTCTATGTTATAAACGGACCCAGCTTGTAACCAAAATTTCCGATAATTGTATATTGGCGCTTATCCATCTATGCATCTATCTATCAGCTTATAAAACCTATATCTAATATCTATGTATAAATTATAATAATAATTATTTAGATTCCTAAAACTGGATTAGCCTCTGCATATTAGGAAACATCATAATAATTGCATGCTATTAACTAACATATATAAACTCAAGTTCTTATCGTTAAATTACAATGCTTGAAGAAAATAAATGAGAAACAAAGTACAGTGTATCCCAATAAAAATGGGAATTAAGTATAGTGTGTCCCAATAAAAATGGGAATTAAGTACAGTGTGTCCCAATAAAAATGGGAATTAAGTGAAGAATTTATTTTCATTTTCGATCCACGCGGCATTCATTCTTAATTCTGATTATGCGAGAAATGAACTCAAAACAAGAACAACATATTCCTCCAAATCTGGGATTTCTAAAATATGTGCAGTCATATTTTTTTTAAAACTGGTTTCTTCCATCATTTTCAAAAATTAAAACCGATTTGAATGTCGTCACTCCATTCCCATGATCACTAGGACAACCTGTATACAATATTCTGCTAAAACGAAACTTTTAAAAAGAAAGTAGAAATGTTCCGAATCTCGTAATTAAGAGGATTTCTAGATTTGACGATAAGGCACAGCAGTAGGTTGACAAGTTCTTTAAAACATTCTTTTTAAACTTCCGTTCAGGGACACACGGGGGCGCAACTAGGGAGTTCGTGAAAAGGGGGGTTGGGACAAATTCTCTGAAAGGGGGACATTGAGGAGTAATAGGAATGAAAAAAATAAGGAGAGTAATGCACTATGGGTAGGGGGAGCAAAATCATCACACAAATCCTCCACCCCCACTCTCTAGTTGCCACATTGCGTTCACAGCATGCAAATTAGAAAATAACATAAAGTGACAGTTATTTATGCCATTTTCAAAATGTACATGAAATGCACAAAAACATGAAACGATAAAAAAATTGTCAATTTTGTGTTGTTTGTGTTAAGAGACGATAATTTATGTGTTTATATATGTGTATATATATATTTGCAATTGTTGTCTTACCTTAGACCGTCTCCAGACGACCAGGCAGCCTATGGTTAGAAGGACCAGGAGGAGGGACAAGGTTGAAACCAGGATTATAACTAAGATCATCTCTAGGTCCTGAACACAGTACAAAGTAAAATATGAAACAAGGATCTATAGGTTCTAAATACAATACGGAATCAGACCTATAGTCATCGATTATTTTTCGACGCATTCGTATATAGTTAACACTCCCTTTAATGTTGTAAATGCGATAACCATATGTTTAACATTGTGGATTAACAGTTTTAAATCGTTGAAGAAAATGCTCAAGTCTGCAGATTGAAAATTGTATTCTAAGAATATTATAAGGATGGGAAAAGTTTCAAAGGAATTGAGTTATTGCCACAAACTCAAATTTTCTAATATATAAATCCTTGCAACCTGATAGTGTAAACCTTTGATATAAACTTATTTCACTTGATTTCACAAATTTCATAGTTTGAATTTATTTTAAAGTTTAAATGTGTACTGTAAAATGAACAAAGTATGTTTATACTAAATATACATGTTTATAAGGATATTTTCACTGTCTATTAAACTAAGATTAGTTCTCTCGAATGTGCATGAACCAAATCAGGAGGAGGGTGCAGGTTAGATTCAGTGCAATAGATTTGTTGAATCCATGAAAGATGGGTTTGGACTTTGGGGAGTTTGAAATATCTATAAATAATATAAATATAGATATAAATATAAAAGGTCTATGACATTGGGATTCAAAGATATATGAATTAGAAGATCAGAGTTTGTGGCGAAGATGTAATTCCTTTAACGAATAATTTCTCTTTAGAGCATGATTTGTCAAAATGGACAGAAACTACATAAAACTAATTTACAATTGTATTTGGTTGATTTTGATACTTTTTAGTCTAGATTAAACCAAGTTATGCATTTCTTTAGTTAAAAGGGACTTTCGCTGTAATTTCAAATGACCTTTAATTTCAAAACAAGAAAATGAGAATGCCTTATTCACAATGGCATCCTTTGAACCTTTATCTTATCAATAATGTGGAAGATATCGTCGTTTGTCTTGAAAAGAGTTTAATTTTGACAATGTCCTCTATTGTTTCTAAAGTAGAAATTTTCAAATCACTTGTTTTTGACACCACAATTAAAAATAAAAATTGAAAATCTCATGGATCTTGATCAAGAGACAAAGCTTTTAAGGGTACTGTTGTAAATCGATCAAATACCATAAATAGAGAGTCACTTGAAAATACGTTAACAGTCCCTTTACTGCCAACATTTTTCGATAAAAATTAGGACTGGGCAGAGTTTTATGAACGAAAAGTTCCAGACCTTTCAAGAATTTTTCTTAGCCCCCACCTTGTACTCAGATACAAGGGTTACCCATACAGTATAAGGCTGTGAAGACGACCAGAAAGTCAAAAACCTTGACGAAACCAAGGTTATCAAGCCTTTATGCCTTGCATATATAGTCTTTAAATGGTATATTTAAATATTTGGCAAAGAAAGAAACAAATTTAAAGGGACTGTAAAGGAAAAATTAAATTAATAGTTAATAAATATAATTGATAATATTATTTATATGTCCGTATCCAGTGGCCAGAACTCCCACCAATAGCAGTGAAGTATCATTATCAATTTTATCCATTAATTATTAAATTCAAATTATAAAAGGAGAAAACCTGAAATTTTCAGACACCTCTGGGATATCGTCATATTCAGATTGGTTGCGTATTTTTGCTGATATGATCTGTTTAAAACTTAAATTATTACACCAAATCTTTTGTTATAATTTCAACACAGTTTTAAATTAAATTCTCGAAACAGGAACATAACATATAGGTCTCGATCAACTCCTGAAGTTCTTAGATTCAGCCTATACCCCCTTTCATTTTTCCTTTACAGTCCCTTTAAGGTTGTAGGGAATCAATAATATAAGGAAATTGACAGAATGCTGTAGAGTCGTCTCTGAAGTCACATCTTTTGTGGGTAACCCTCTACAAACGAAAAAAATCTTTAAGAATTTTGAGTTTATTTGCATTTTGCATAATTTCATGATTTTCTTTAAACGAATTTTATTTATTTTGCTGTGTCAGGAAATATATAGTACTGCCACTATTACAAAGCATCCTTGTATTCACGACGATATAAAAGTCTTGTTTCTATGTTTGGAACACCCTGTATCTCTAACATCGTTTCATGTAATGCGACACCCTGTATATTGTGACACCCTGTATCTCTATTCTCCTTTTATTCATTTGGACACCCTGTATCTCTACTCTTTTTTCCACTGGGACACCCTGAATTTCTATTCTTCTTTTATCAATTGGGACACCCTGTATTAATACTCTCCTTTTATTCACTTGGACACCCTGTATCTCTATTCTCCTTTTATCCATTGGATTTATTATTCTCTTTTCTCGGTAATTGAATAAATCAGTGTACAAGAGAACATGCTAGGAGTCCAATAAATATTGGTATACATCCTGAGGGACCTAGGGGAGCCAAGTGCGCCTTTAAAAGTTTTACAAGAGTTATTTTATCAATTTAAAGCTGTAAATAATTGGTAAATGCAACGGAAATATTATCATTCAAAGATGAATTGTAACTAAGGTTTAGAACGGTTTTCTTCTATTGCGTTGTTTAAGATACTGTTAAAAGTCACGTTAATATTTTTTTGTTTCTTGTTTTTTAGTTTTACTAGCCTAAGAGGGCGCTTCGCGCCCATCTTCTAAATTAATTGTGAACATGTTCTCTTTGTGTACATCGTAAAACAAAACAAAAATAATTTGCGGATTTTCACAAAAAATTTCGTGGATTTTCAAAATTTTAAAAAATTTAATGACGATCGAATTTTGATGGAGACAAATATTTGAAATTTTGATCATTCATAAACCTTCCTTGGGGTCCCTAGATGTTTCCACAAAAAATTTGGGCCCGATCGGTTCAGCCGTTTTGAAGTTTATTGGATACAAACAGACAGACAGACATACAGACAGACAAACAGACAGACAAGCCAAATTTATATATAGATTCATGTAGATATTCATTGCAAAGAAAATCTTAAGAAAAGTAGATCAATTAAAATCAATTATAAACTAAACTACTATGTTACATGTTTGATGCTCAATGGTATTCTTAAATTCTTTGTCTGAGCATAATACAGAAATTATCCCTGATTTTGTCTCTAAGAATTGATTGTTTTCCGTTGTGGTTCTCCGTAATAAGGACTTTTGCAAAAGAAAGACAATTTATTGAATATCATTAAAGAAAAACAATGATATGTTCTCCAGTTAAAAAGAGACAAAGAGTACCGTGGTAAATCGGACAATCCACACTTTTAAAAGGACGGTCCCTTTAAATTTAATTCTATATTCCCTTTAAATTACTTCTACAGTCCCTTTAAATTACGTATACAGTCCCTTTAAGTTACATATAAAGTCCCTTTAAGCATAAGAACGGTTTAAAGCAAACCTCGGAAACCTCAGAAACCTCAGAAACCGTGTACGTGGAGTAAGAATTAAGAAGAAGGTTGACAGAGGGTGATAAAAGTGGACAAAAGGATTAGGTGGCTTTTCAAGAGAGGGGTGGGGGGGGGGTTAGGAACTGTCATTGTAATCTTAAATGACTCTAAATGTAAAGAGGGACAGTTAAATTTCATACCCTTGACACCTTAATTTTATCAATAATGTGTAATAAAATATAGTTTTCTGTCTTTATTTTTAATATAGTCTTTTCTTTTGCAAGAAATGTGCAAGTCACTTTTGTAGAAAAACTGCAATTGAAAATAATAAGCTATCAAAATGAAAGACATGAATATCTAATTCATATTTGATGAGACAAGGCATTCAAGGGTACCGTTGCTACTCTATTAATGAAGAGTCATTTAAAATTACGTTAACAGTCCCTTTAAGGAGAGTTGTCGATGCATGAAACCAAGAAGTTTGGCTCAACCTGAGATTTAGAAAAGTCGTTAAGTTTTATAGGAAGTCCCAGGCCTATTAAGGCAGGATGAAGTTGGCAGTATGGATGTTTGAAATCATATTCACTATGCACAAAAGGATGCATCAAATTCTAAGGATTGTCAAACGTGTAATTTAATTTTGAAAATTAAAAAATCCGCCAAATAAAGTGTTGAAAATCTCAATTTTACTTTTGACCAGATAGGATTGATTCTAATTAAAAAAAAATTTGAATTTGATTTTATTTAATATTTTGCAATAACCGTTGTTTTATAGCGAATGCGAATCGTTTGTTCTAAAATTGCAACACGTTTTTGCAGTGCAGTGCAGTGCACAATACATCTGCCAATTTCATTTTTCAAATATTCTTTACTTCTTGATGTTTAAAGCAAAATATCAACAATGCCTTAATTCTATTTTTTTCGGAAGCTTTCATATTTGATTCCCCAAATACATTAAAGAAAAAAGGATAAAGAATAAGGGAGTGAAATTTTTCTGAAACAATTTTACAGAAGCAAAAAGTATTCTACTGGAAATACTAAGAATGTTTATTAAATGCATTTTTCACATATATAAAAAATGTCTGTCTCAAATGGGGTTTTATGATAAAAAATGTTGAAAAAAATAACCAAGTATGGTAAAAGTAAAACTGAAAATTGAAACCGGGTTGAATTTCCGAATTCAAATCAATTTACAGAATTGAAAAATATTGAAATTTGACCGAGTTTGGTAAAAAAAACTCTTTATTTAGTCTAACTGACATTTATTTGAATAAAAAAAAATTTTTTTTGCTATAACTTGCCCAATTTTTTATATTTTTCAGATTTTAAACTGCAAATACATTGAAGTAAAAAAGAGGAAGATAAAAGAAGCAAATCTGTTCTGTAAGAGACTGTCTATTTTTTTTAAAATGGTTTAACTGAGAATTATATATATCTATATATCAAATTATTGCTTCTATATAAAAGAAATTTGCGCATTAATTCAGCAAAGAGAAAAAGAAAAGAAAAAACAGAATGCAACAATTTTCCAAATATAAAAACGATTCACTCCTCTCTAAATCAAACTTGGTTTTTATCCTAATGTTTAAAAAATTTGAGAACTTCGGGTTATGGATTCCAGAACGAGTGAGTTAATTTTTTTAGTACAAAAATATTTCGAAATGTATTTAAAAGGAAACTTCAATATCTAGCTATTATTCCAGTTACTACTACCNCTTAAGTCTTTATTGTTCTTATATTAAAAGATCGGACATTTTGTCAAATTGAATTAGTGTTTCAGTCTTGCTCAAATATTTTTATATCAGACGAGAAAACACAAGTTAAAAATGTTTTAACTCAACAAAAAACATAATATCGTCAAATTCACATACTTTATATATAATACCATGGGTTAAAATTGTTATTTTGCTCCAAGGTTGTATGATAAGGTTGCTGCACTCCAATGTTGTCTCCTAAGATAGATAGATAAAAACCTAATATGACGCAACTCTCGCTTCTATAATCAGTGACATCATATGAGGATTGTATCTATCTATGCTTAGGAGACGACATTTCTCGAATTAGAGCCCATCGAGAGTAAGCAACCTTATTATACAACCTTGTTTTGCGCCCTGATTTCATTCAAGTTTTATAACAAATAAAATAAACTATACAGTATACACGGTGTCCCACATCATTTTAGAAGATTGAAAATATTAGGAAATTGTATAAGGCCAATATAAAACTTTACATTGAGGATGTTTAAAGGTCTTTAAGTGTTTTTGTGTGAGTATTTGGACTTGGAAATTGTTGTTTTCATTTGGTTGCTTTATGTACTGCGAATGTACCTGATGTCCTGGTGTATCCTGCAGTACAGTGTACGTAGATATGTACTGGCATGAGCAGGATGTATGACTAAGATTCGTTTGTATTGTTGTACATCCACTAGAGGTCCAACCTTGCCGCTGCAGGTCCCAGTGTACACAACGCTAAACAGTACATAATTCAGTACATAATACAGGCAACACTAAACCAGTACATAACATGGTGCATAATACATACAACGCTAAACAGTACTTAATACAGGCAACGCTAAACAGTACATAATACAGCCAACACTAAACCAGTACATAATACAGGCAACGCTAAACAGTAAATATGTCTATTGATGGGAAATATCTTGGTTAGTTTTTCTAAATGTTCCAGGTTTTCGGACTTTTAAAAGGCACTGTTAAATAGAAATAAGGTTCCTATATTTTAAAAATGTATTTTGTAAAAGTTTACTTTAACTTAACTTTGCAAAAAAAAATTATCTTGAGAAGAAATAGAAGGACATAAGTAAGTTAAGTAACCAAAAACGATCGTTCGGTTTTTGAATGATGAATGATGAATGATGAATGATGAATGATGAATGATGAATGATGAATGATGAATGATGAATGATTAATGATTAATGATTAATGATTAATGATGAATGATGAATGATGAATGATGAATGATGAATGATNTGTTGTCTATTCTGAACCAATAGAAATAGTATGGCGGTAACATCTTTCTATCTATCTCATTTTCCAATCAGAGATATGTATCCTTCAATCGGTGCTATCAGTAAATGGAAATATTTACTTCTACTGAAACTATGTATAGGATGTTACAAAACAGATTGTTTTGCCAATTGCTTGGATATAAACGTATTAAGTGAAGTGAAATGGCTGTTTTTACACTAATTGCTATGTTTAATGTTAATTTTAAATAATAATTCGAGTAAAACAGTCGTCTTTCTATTTCACAGTTTTCCGAATTCCATTGTAGTAGCTTTTTAAGGGGGAGGGGGGGGGAACGAAGGTAAACGCCAGTATTCACATAGGAGAAACCTATTTCCCGTTTTTCTGTTGATTTTCAAGTTAGTACTGAGAGGACAATTACTTCGTGACAACATCAAATATATTAAGTGATTATGTCTTCAGATTCCACAGTTTTATTAATCCTACAGTATGAAAATATCGACTATATAAAAAGAAACTTTTAATTAATATTTTACATTAACTATGTGATGTTGCAAAAACTAAATCTGAAAGAAATGGGGAAAATAATTTTATGAGAAGAAAGAAAAACAAATTGGAAAGAAAGCAAATATTTATAAACATTTTTATAAAAAAGAGACTGCAGAGACGTAAGTAACCCTCCATGTTTGGAGTTGCAACATTAACATTTAACCCATCTGTAATCATCAATGCTGAAGATATTTGATAATTGAGAGCCGGATCCGGTAAAATAAATATTGTTAAAAATGTCCCATCAATCTGACAAATATTTAAATTGTACCTTTGTGGATTAAATATGCAACACAAAAAAAGATTTACTTGAAATTACATCTGTACAGTCCTTATATTGCTTTCAAATGTTTACATAAACGCTCCAGAACTGTGGTACTGTATAATTATACAGTGTACATGTATAAAGAACCAACCTTATGTACAGTATCTCCGGGTATGGTATGCGCTAAGGTGAAGTTGACCGCCTGCGTCACAAACCGGTTTTTAACAGACCCAGAATAGATGGAAACAATACGTGTCACCAGCTTTATCTACAAAAAAAAAATGAAAAATGTAAAATGCAATCATTGAAAACATGTGCTGAACTTGTCTTGAAATAGGAAAGTATATGTCAAAGATTTACCTTACTGATTTTGGAGAAAAATAATTTCTGTTAAAGAGTATAAGCAAGTAGGCCTGGGGTAAGAAAAGGGTCATCTTTGTATAACATTTGTCAAAAGGTTACTTAAATGGAGCATCTATGTGTAAGGTTTGTTCACCTATTCCAACATTGAACCATTTACATTTAAGGATTGTCTACCTATTCTAACGGAAAGAGCATCTACCTGTTCCGATGACGGTGTATCTACCATTTTCGACATCGGAGCTTCTACCTTTTCCGACGATGAAGCATTTACCCGTTCCGATGACGGTGTATCTACACTTTTCGACGTCTACCTTTTCCGACGATGGAGCATTTACCCGTTCCGATGACGGTGTATCTACCCTTTTCTAACGATGGAGCATTTACCTTTTCCGATGACGGTGTATCTACCCTTTTCGACAACAGAGCGTCTACCTTATCCGACGACGGAGCATTTACCCGTTCCAACGATGGTTTATCTATACCTGTTCCGACGACGGTGTATCTACCTGTTCCGATGGTGGTGTATCTACCTGTTCCGATGACGGAGTATCTACCCATTCCGATGACGGAGTATCTACCTGTTCCGATGACGGCGTATCTACATGTTTCAATGATGGTGTATCAACCTGTTCCGATGACGGTGTATCTACCTGTTCCAACGACAGTGTATTTACCTGCTCAGACGGCGGAGCATCTACATGTGAGATATGTTTGGATTGTTCTGGAACTGAGAAGATTGTATCTACCCTTGTGACACCTTAAAATAAATATTATTAAGGATTTATGAAATGATCCTGAGATACCCTTAGATATCCTGAGATATCCTGCAAAATATCCTGAGGTACCTGAGATATCCTGAGATACCCTTAGATATCCTGAGATATCCTGAGATATCCTGCAAGATATCCTGAGAAATCCTGAGATATCCTGAGATATCCTGAGATATCCTGAATCCTGAGATATCCTGAGACATCCTGAGATATCCTGCAAGATATCCTGAGATATCCTGCAAGATATCCTGAGATATCCTGAGATATCCTGAGATATCCTGAGATATTCTGAGATATCCTGAGATATTCTGAGATATCCTGAGATATCCTGAGATATCCTGAGATATCCGGAGATATCCCGAGATATCCGGAGATACCCGGAGATATCCGGAGATATCCGGAGATATCCGGAGATATCCGGAGATATTGTGAGATATCCTGAGATGTCCTTGTATAACCCAAGATATCCTGATATATCCTGAGATATCCTAAGATACCCTGAAATATCCTGATACAACCCAAGATATACTAAGATACCCTAAATATCCTGATATAATCCAAGATATCCTAAGATACCCTGAAATATCCTGAGACCATATATCCAAACTGACAGAATATTTAGAACATTTTATCCAACTTCTCGAATTACAAAGTTTAATATCATATATATGTTTGTTACCTAGGACTGCCAGAACGGATGAATTGGTTGAGATTGAATCTATGAATGGAGATGATGAGACGGAGAGGGAATATGAATCTGCTCCGAGGAGAAGGGTTGGTTCTGAACCCTGCTCCGGGTCCTTCTCCGTCCAGCTCCACGGGGTTGAACTTGGTACCAAGGATAGTCGACACTCTATAACAAGAAAATTAAAAACATGGACTTTAGTACAGTGTGATCCAGCAAATTGTGGAATAGATAAACCACATTTTAGGTAAAATGGTTTTTTTTACTCTGGTAAAATTAGTGTATCACTTTTTCATTGGACTATTGATTATATAACTTGAGTCTAAAAGTCTCATTCCTATTCCAGAGTTTCTGGTTCTCATTTAATTGGATAAATTTTTATGTTTTGTTATATTTTGAAATTAACTAAAGTAAGATTAACGATAAGAAGCAGATTTAGGATAGGATAGAGTTTCTTTTATCAATCTTAATCTTTTTGGTAGGGCTACAACATTTACTTTCGGACAGAGAATATACAAAATTGCATAAAGATTTAAGAGAATACTCACGAACTATCAAAACTATAATATCTAGAACTACTTATAATTTCGAATGTAAATTGTTAATGTATTGATCAAGATTCAGCAAAATAATTCTAAAATTTAAACGAAAAACTTTCCTTTAAATACTATAAAAGTTCAAGGTGAAAAAGATATTTCGCGTCCCTATTATCAAGTTTAAAATGCATGAAACTACTGCAAAAATTATTCTAATTTTCAATTCAATGAAACTCTACGGAGGAGTTAACAACTTAAAAATGCAGATTTAACGAATCATAAAACTTACCAAAGTTAGGAAAAATGAAAGAATAAGGTTCTGCCCCAGGTTTCAAGCTCTCCGGGTCCAGGTGGAGAGAGGAGCGGATCAGAGTTGGATTCACAGGGTACAAGCTGAGACAAAGCTCCTGTAGCACCTCTAAAAGCCTAGTTCTCAGGGCCTCGAAGCTGGTCGGAGATAAATCCATCCACGCCGCCAGGGATTCCCGCTCCAGTAGGAAACTAAGAACCTGAGAAAACTGAGAAAGAGATTGATCTCTAAACCGTCCTTGGAACATATTCTTCTTGAGTTTCCAGCGCTGAAGACTCGTTTCCACTAGCTCCAAGATAACCTTGATATCCCCACCGTACAGGTTCAGCCTCTGTATGTTAGTGTGCAGGGTGAGAGTGAGGGATGATGTATCCGGAGTAAATGGTAGTTCTGACACCAGAGCTAGCAACCAGTTGGAGGAACATTCGACAAGCAGTGGCGCTTCCCAACCCTGGACGGAACATCTTCTTCTCCCGGTTCCCAGGGTTCCAGAAGGACATGGAACCCTGGCCACCGTCTCTATTCTAGACCCAGGCCAGAGAATATTTCTCCGAACCTCAGGTTCACACCAAACCTCGCTCAGTGGAACAGGAATTCTGGGATATTGGTTCAATATAATCGAATTTAGAATTTTCGAAGAAATTAAATTTTTATGTTCAATCTATCGAAAATTATCGAAGTCATTATGTTTCTGTTAAAAAAACAACGAAAAGATATGACTTAGATATCCATGTTTTTGTTTCTTTAAACTGTTTATTTTCATTTTCATTCATAAGCACGGTATCTTCCACAATTGTGATTAGATTAAGGTTTTAAAGGTACGGTTGTAAACTGGACATTGCCATCTTAGCATGGAGGGTCCCTTGAAATGACGCTTGCTGTCCCTTAAAGTTTAAGAAAAACATAAACTAGTACATGGTATTGTATGTTTACAAAACTTGTATTAAACTTTAATCTCTCTCCGCTTTTCGAGATAAATAATATTTAAAGATTAATTAAAACTTAATGTTTGAACTTTCCTTTGTGTAGTTGTTGTAATATCCCGGAGCTCTGGGATAAAATCATCCCGAACTCTAGCTCCGGTTCTAGGTCTAGATCCTTCTCCCTCTGTAGTTTGTGGTACCTGGAGAACCCCCTGAGGAGGATTAAGACCGGAAACAGGTTGGTTTATCCTAGCACCAGAAGAGGAGGAATATTTATAGTCTCTAGTCACTAAACTCTTATCTAATGTTGTAGTAGAGGTAGAAGCTGTTGTTACATATCTTGTTGTTGTGGTTGTGGCTGTCGTTGTTGTTGTAGTTTTTGTTGTAGTTGTTGTGGTTGTTGTTGTTGTTGTAGGCGGAGCTGTTATAGGAACCCTCCCTCCTTTATCCTGGAAGCCTAGTTTCATCCATGGAGGGGTAGCTACCAAACCACCTAAAATATCTTTTATATATAAAGTTGTCATCTCTGTTGGTCTTTTTGTCTCTCCGATAATAACTCGGGAACCGATTTGCCTCAAATTTTGATCTGGGACCTTGGGAGAACCACGGGAATGTTCTTAGTTTGGTTTTGAGATTCTAAATTGAGTTAGTCGACTTTTATCGGGAAAATATCTAATATCATAATTTCCGACAATTGGCAGGTAATTTGTGGGACTAACTAACTGTCCCGCCTGTACAACGCTGGGTTCCCCAGCTAGTACTTTTTATTTTATTGTACTTATTGTATTTAAAAAAGTATATTTAAAGGAAAATTTTGAAAATCGATAAAAGGTTAAGAACTCGTACATCAGAAGAAATATATTCTTCTACATTTAAATAATTTAAGAAAATTTAAATTGTCTAAAAAATTTCTATTCTCTTGTTGTTTTCAAGAGCATTGTTTATCCTTTATTCACTCAGATAGAACAACAAAAATATTCTGCAGCCAAGAGTTAAAAGCCTTATAAATGTAAAATATATACATGATAAATATCATGAAAAAAATGAATACTTCTACATTTGTATTCAAAGCAAAATTGTAAAATTTACAAATTCTAAAATATGTTTAGAAAAAAAGTTTTTCTGGTTTGAGGTTGCTTCCATTATCTATTTAAGACAGCTAGTTAACCAAATTCTTTCAAAACCACCACTGTAAATAGGAGAAAAGAAATTTAAACTTGTCCAAACTTGAAACGAAAAAATAGTATTAAGGTTGTGTAGAGTGTAGAGTGTAGAGTGTAGAGTGTAGAGTGTAGAGTGTAGAGTGTAGAGTGTAAAGAGTGTATAGTGTAGAGTGTAGAGTAAAGAGTGTAGAGTAAAGAGTAAAGAGTGTAGAGTAGAGTGTAGAGTGTAGAGTGTAGAGTGTAGAGTGTAGAGTGTAGAGTGTAGAGTGTAGAGTGTAGAGTGTAGAGTGTAGAGTGTAGAGTGTAGAGTGTAGAGTGTAGAGTGTAGAGTGTAGAGTGTAGAGTGTAGAGTGTAGAGTGTAGAGTGTAGAGTGTAGAGTGTAGAGTGTAGAGTGTAGAGTGTAAAGAGTGTGAATATTCAATCTGAGTTCTGTATTCCAGGTTCAGAAATAGTAGTTTCTAGGAATTGAAGTGAGAGGGAATATGCCCCAAGCAGAATACCAGGATACCAGGATACCAGGAAACCAGGATACCAGGAGGATACCAGGATACCAGGAAACCAGGATACCAGGATAACCAGGATACCAGGATACCAGGAAACCAGGATACCAGGATACCAGGATACCAGGATACCAGGATACCAGGATACCAGGATACCAGGATACCAGGAAACCAGGATACCAGGATACCAGGATACCAGGATACCAGGATACCAGGATACCAGGATACCAGGATACCAGGATACCAGGATACCAGGATACCAGGATACAAGGATACCAGGAACCAGGATACCAGGATACCAGGATACCAGGATACCAGGATACCAGGATACCAGGAAATCAGGATACCAGGGAAAAAGGATACCAGGATACCAGGAAATTAGGATACCAGGGAAAAAGGATACCAGGATACCAGGATACCAGGATACCAGGATAATTCTGTCATTGTTCCAAAAAAAACTTCAAATCTAGAAACGTGAATTTTTCTTTTTAGATTTCCAAACAAGCTGTAAAGTAAGCGAGGGAACTATGTTCACTGCAGTCTTTAGGGTTTTTATCCTTGAATCATCCTCATATTTAATATTAAAACCACTCTGCTAAATTCTGACATTTCTTGAAAGAACCCCATTAGGAGGAGATAAATAATGTTTTAGAAGATTGTGAACTTTTCTTTCCTCCATTTTGTTTGATTCTCCAAGGCAAGTCATTAATTTGAATTTAGTAAATTATTTGTTGTTTTAAATATCTAACTTCCCGCACATTATCTAAATGAAATTAAATATGGAGGTCAAAGGTTTAATTTAGTTGTTATAAATCTTTACCTGTCTTTTTAGTACAGGTATAATGTGCTTCCAGGTAGCGCTGCGTGCCAGAACACGGATCCGTCCTGTGCGCAAAACTTTCAGCGGCAATTGCGCATGATGATTTCCCGTTACATTCACTGCGCATGAGTGAGACAGCTTCGCTCATGTAGCAGTTTACCGACCAGTTCTGGGCTCCCTGAACATTTGTAATGTATCATCATTTCAAAATCAGTATTACGAGGAAGATCTATTTATGTGGAATTGCAGGTCCTGCTTTGCAACCTCGTCGTTTTCATTGATACGCCATGGAAGATTTACCAAAGAAAACTTGTTTGGCTGCAACTTGCATATTAGGATTTTTTTAAATGTTAGCATATTTAAACATTTCCATGTCAGACGTATTTTTGTCAATTTTTATTCTTTTAGGGAGACAATTTTTACCGCCTTTTTACCAAAATGAAGGACCCGCTCTGCGAAGTTTTCGTTCAAAAAAATTCGCGCATTTTCATATCAACAGACTGTTTCGGGAAATTAAAAATGTAACTTAACCACGGGTTCTCTCTACCAATTTTTCCTGCAAAACATCCCTCGCGGCTCTCTGTATGTTTTGTGGGCAAAAGTGGTCTTGTGAACCCGTGGTAAAGTAAAATTCCCTTAACTTCCCTGTAAAGTAGTGGAAAATATTTATTGCTCATTAGTTTTTGACAAAAGTTTTTATTTCAAAAACAAACAAAAATGTTGTTGTTGTTTTAAAAATACATCGAAACAATTATATTCGAAGTGGGAAAAAAAGAACAATAATGCTCTAACTAGTTCTTGAGCTGTTTAGAACGGTTTCCTAAAACCATTATATCCTAGTGTAATCAGGGTTAATGAGATAATATACTTTAATTAATGGTAGAGCCAAAAGCAGGTATGGGCTCGTCCATATTTTTTTAATCCGTTTGCTAAAGGGACTGTAAGCGTAATTTGATGTGACCTTACATGCAAAGATGACAATGCCCGATTTACTACAGTACCCTTAAATTATTTATCTGATCAATAATTTGGAAGATATTGTCTTTTTTATAGGTTTAAAACATTAAATTCTGATCTTTTCAAGATGTTTTCATGCAAAAAAATGCCTAAGTCACTGTTGTAGATAAATAAAAATGTTAAATAATCAATTTTCAAAATTATGAAACTGATATCTAATTCATATTTGATCAGGCATTGTCATCTTTGAATGAAGGCCACCGCTGGTCCCATTAATAGATAGTAAATGTATGTAACGGATATACCCTACAAATTACATTTTTAACCACTAATATTTTAGAACTTTCCGTTAGCTAATGTAATTATTTTTTAAGTTGTCCAAAACATTCTTCGTTTTTTCCATCCTTACAACCTACCGGAGAATGGTTAAAGTCTTATATTTTTTAAAATTAAATATTTTAGGTTGGGTTGAGTGATGCTTAAAAATCAACAAAATTCTCGATTATTTTTAATTAATGGTTCTTTCCGGATCATTTTATTCATTATAACGAAATTTTCCGTTTTTTTGCAAAAAACTCTATTCGGTAATATGGAACTTTTGCCAGCCCTACAGTTAATGGTTTAGCCAGCAGAAACCATTGAGAGTAATTATCCATCCCGGTTTTATTCCCTTCAGATGGGATTATTAGAATTTACTTTTTATCTTACATTTTCAGAATTTAATTAGTCATTTGTTGAACATTTAGAATTTATCTTCTTATTTCTTCCACTAACACTAAGCTAAATTGATCTTGACAGTGACATAATTGTTTTTAGTTTTTTTTTTGCCAACCAGAGGTCGATACTTATAAATATTTGAGCTAAGTAGAGGGAGATGAACTGGAAAGGTAAATTTACTATCTATAACTCTTTAAACTACTTTTCACTGTTTATCAAATCCTACCTCTTTAGTTTTGCACTAAAAATAATTATTTAAGAAACAAAATCAATAGTGGATGATATTTTTGTTAAGACTTTAACTTTTATATAGTTCATCCTTTTTGTGTGTGACCTGTTCTAAAATAAATATTTTAGTATACATTTTGAACTGTGTCGCATCAAAGTTTTGTAAAATTGACATCTTACTCTTGGTCAGTTCTGCAGAATGTTTTTGTGTATTTTCAACTAAAGGATGGGATAGAATCTAGGAGTATGTATAGAAAACAAGAGTGATCAAAAAAGGATATTTTAACCTTAATCATTTTAAAATTTAAATAACATCGTTGTAAATCGATCAAACTCCATTACGGGAACAGGCCCCCTTTAAACATATATGCAAATATATCTCATACAGACTCCAAGGTTGGACTCGGAGTAAGGTTCAAACAAACCATATATCTCATGAGTTCTCTGCAGACTCCAAGGAAGAACCCGGAGTAAGGTTTAAACAAACAATGTATCTCATGAGTTCTCTACACACTCCAAGGATGGACCCGGTGTAAGGTTTAAACAAACAATATAACTCATGAGGTCTCAATAGACTCAAAGGATGGACCCGGAGTAAGGTTTAAACAAACCATATATCTCATGAGTTCTCTACCGCTACTCCAAGGTTGAACCCAGAGTAAGGTTACAACAAACAAAATATCTCACGAGTTCTCTACAGACTCCAAGGTTGAACCCAGAGTAAGGTTTATACAAACCATATAACTCATGAGTTCTCTATAGACCCCAAGGTTGAACCCAGAGTAAGGTTTAAGCAAACCATATAACTCATTAGTTCTCTACAGACTTCAAGGTTGAACCCAGAGTAAGGTTTGAACAAACAAACGTCTCATGATTTCTCTATAGGGTCCAAGGTTGAACCTAGAGTAAGGTTTAAACAAATCATATAACTTATGAGTTCCCTAAAGACCGGTTTAAAAAAACCATATATCTCATGAGTTCTCTACAGACCCCAAGGATAGACCCAGAGTAAGGTTTAAACAAACAAGAGTCCTTACAGACTCCAAGGATAGACCCAGAGTAAAATTTAAACAAACATGAGTTCTCTACAGACTCCAAGGTTGAACCCAGAGTAAGTTTTGAACAAACAAAATATCTCATGAGTTCTCTACAGACTTCAAGGTTGAACCCAGAGTAAGGTTTGAACAAACAAAATATCTCATGAGTTCTCTACAGACTCCAAGGTTGAACCCAGAGTAAGGTTTGAACAAACAAAATATCTCATGAGTTCTCTACAGACTCCAAGGATGAACCCGGAGTAAGATTTGAACAAACAAAATATCTCATGAGTTCTCTGCAGACTTCAAGGTTGAACCCAGAGTAAGGTTTGAACAAACAAAATATCTCATGAGTTCTCTGCAGACTCCAAGGTTGAACCCAGAGTAAGGTTTGAACAAACAAAATATCTCATGAGTTCTCTACAGACTCCAAGGATGAACCCGGAGTAAGGTTTGAACAAACAATATATCTCATGAGTTCTCTATAGACTCCAAGGATGGACCCGGAGTAAGATTTAAACAAAAAATATATCTCATGAGTTCTCTACGCACTCCAAGGATGAACCCGGAGTAAGGTTTGACCATTGGTTTCTCTATAATACTGCAGGAGATGAGAAGAAAAGACATGTTTCTGGTTCTGACAACTTTGTTTTCAATTCTCGGGATCTAAACCTCAAGATTTTGCGGAGAAAATAATGTATTGACACGGTGGGATATCCGTCTAATGTAAAAAGATTAAAAATGGAAAACTCTGATCTCGATATTTTTGGGGGATTTTCATCTACAGATTAATTTAATCTTTGTTCGGTATCCCTGCAGCATGCCAAAAGTACCCAGCCATGTTTCGATGGGAGCTTTGATCAAGGTTTAAGGGAGCTTTGATCAGAGGTTTAAGGAAGCTTTGACCTGAGGAGGAATAATTAAAATCAAGAGACTAAGGTTTGGTCCTAAAATTAAAAAAGGCCCACAGTGGATATAAAGATCAAGCGATTGGGAATTTGAGTCTCCAATACAGCAGTTAAAGATACAAAGACGGTAGACCACATTTTGGAAAGCTCAATAGACGTTCAGTTTTATTTTCAATCACTTTATGTCATTTATAGTTATCGGAAATCAAAGACGACCTTAACAACAAAAATAAACAATCTTATTTATCCAATATAAATCAATGTTTTTTACATATTTATTTCTTAAAAAATGAAAAAATAAAATTTCACCTTAATAAATATTATTGATTTTAGATTGAATTCTGTTTAAACTAACTCTTTAGAAATTAAAGATTATTATTATTAAAGAAAGCAATCTCTTATTTCTCGCAAAGTTTTGATTCGAACTAAATGCATCAATCAAAATTAACGAAAGAGTATAATGGAACACTTTTCCCATTAAAGCATGGTACAATATAAGATAATTAGTAAATTTTGATGAATCGTAATTTTATATTGAAATTATGATTGAAAGGAAACTTTTAACAAGTTTATTTGATATTTTGTGAACGCTGAGGGTTTAATGGATTTCCAGAATACATTTCTATACATAGGATCCAGGGGGTTTAAACTCGAGGAAATCTAACCATTAAACAAACCACCCCCCCCCCCACCATGTACCCTTTCTCAAATCACTGCATCCCTTTTTCAGAAAACCCTATTCTTTCTCCCCTCCTACACCCCCCTCGGCCCTCCCCCCTCCCCCCGTATGTGAACTGCACTAGATTTTTTACTTCATAAATGATATAAAATATACTGTGTACGTTAGTTTACAGTATATTTTATATATTTTTTGACATTACACATATTTCTCAAAAATTCAGAATATTCCGCTATGTCCAACGTGGTTTTAAATATTTAAATGGACATTTTTATTTTCTGCAACTTTTAGAAAGCTAATTTTAATATTTCTTGAAGAATAAAACAGCTTGCAAACAAAGTGTTCAATAATTACAAACGTTTCTGTAGAGAACTAAGAATTAGTCCGGCATCCTTAGTAAGTCAAATGCACGGGCAGCCGTAGTACATTTGAATTTGCGAGCCGGGTCAACTTTTCCCGTCCCAGTTTGTACTGTACCTAGCTCTATGGACAGGACTAGCCGGTGCAACAAGGTTGACGCGGTCAGACGTTATGCTTCATATAGGTTGAATTTACTTTGACTAAAGGGGCAGAGGTGCGTAAAGGGTATGGTTGTGATTGGACTAACTACTCCACACAACACTTGAAATTATGGTACAGTCCCTTTAATAACTTGAAGAATGGAACTGAGTCTATACTACAAACACAAATTTGCTAATCCCTATATCATTGCAACCTTTGATACTTCAAACTTAGATTATCTAATCTTACAGTATTCATGGAAAAGACTCAATCTCTTTAGAATGGCACATTCATAAAGGAACTGAGTCTTTGCCACAAACTCAAATTTTCTTATCCCTATACCTTCGCGATCTGATGGTGTAAATCTTTGATATTTCAAACTTAGATTATTTGATCTATCAGAATTCATAGTTTGAAATATCTAAGGTCTACGAGATTGGGTTGCAAAGATATAAAGGTTGGAAAATCAGAATTTGTGGCGAAGACTCAATTCCTTTATAATTTTGTTACCTGGTCGTTACAGAGGGTGATGGTAAATCTACCGTAGTTTCCATTGTGGATTTGTATTGTAGAATCCCCAGGGCAACTCATGTTTAAGGGGTGCGGAGCACACGCAATGACTTGACGAATAGACCCACCAGGATCATGCAGGGGCCACACTAGATTGAATAGATTAAAGGAATTGTTCGCAAATTTCAGACTGTTTTATCTAAGCTAAAAGTGACGCAAAGTTTGCGCAAAAATTTACAATTTTGCCTGTTTAAGTTAAGAAATTCTGATTAAAACCTAAGATATGAAAATATTCCTCTTTTTAATAATTTGACCTTTAATTAGAATATTTCATTATTGAAGAAAAATTTAGCACGACATTTTTTCATTTAAATGATTGAAAGTATAGTATTTAGGATTAAATTAATCATGAAACTAAAAAGTTATAAATGTATATATATACAACATGCATAATATGCAATGATTAAATTAATCATGAAACTAAAAAGTTATAAATGTATATATATACAACATGCATAATATGCATATATGATTAAATTAATCATGAAACTAAAAAGTTATAAATATATATATATATATATATATATATTTATATATATACAACATGCATATATTGAATAGAAGTAAGTCAAACAATATCCATAATAAGCAGGAGGACCCATAAAAATGGGGAATAGGAAGATGGCACAAATGATGGGTCCAATGATCATGAAACCCAGCAATAGTATGTAGCGTACAATTTTATTCAAAGCAAGCGGAAAAGCTATTTGCTTCACAACAACATCAAATAAACATAATTTTATCTTCCTTTTCCACAGTTTTATGGGATTCACTGTATATATATATGCTATGATTTTAAGAAATAGTGAAACCCAGCAATAGTATGTAGCGTACAATTTTATTCAAAACAAGCGGAAAAGCTATTTGCTTCACAACAACATCAAATAAACATAATTATTTTATTTTCCTATTCCACAGTTTTATGGGATTCACTGTATTATATATGCTATGGTTTTAAGAAAAAGAATGAATTAATAAATGATTGAAGAACTACATAATTAATAAATTAAAAAATGGTTGATAAATAAAGAAACAAAACTAAGGATCTGGTTCTTGCCACAACCTCTGATTGTCTTCTATATCTTTAACTCGTTGTTGTGTAGACCTTAGATATTTTAAACTATCAAATAGTTAACATTAACATTATTAGGTTGCACAGATATAAGGATAATAAATTGTTGTTTGTGGCAAGACCTCAGTTCCATAGATAAAACCGGATTAGTAATAATTTACAGAGTGAAAAGGATTTGAAAAAAAAATTGAAATTGATAATTATTACCTTGCTCCGCGAATGTTCCCATTGAGAGACAGATAAAGATATGAATCCAATTCAGCATCTGAAAAAAAGAAAACATATGAATAATATTTATACCAAACAAAATTACACTGATATATATATATATACATTCTTAAATTTCTGTTTCTAGCTAAACTAAAAAATGTATCATATTATTGATCAGATAAAGGTGTAAATGGTACCATTGTTCATCAAGAATGCCAGTATTTAGATGGTAGCATTGTGAATCGAGAATACCACTATTTAAATAGTAATTAAATGGTATTTAAAATTACAACGATAGCTTCCTCTTATCTTTAAATTTAAAGTTTTGATTTTGTTTTTTAAAATAATATTTAGCTTACAACTTGTTTTCGAACATTCCTGGACAATATGAAAATGTCGTCTTCATTACCAAAAATCCTCGAAACAGGAATAAATGTTTTCATAAGTAACTCTCAGATCATAACAATTAAAACATATTATGAAATATCAAATATATACAAATGTGGCGAAAGATAATCGATGACTATAAGTTGTAATATCTGAATGATTTGTTTGATATTAAATTGATTTTTTACGGTCTAAGTCATATGTTGAAATTTTCTCAATTTGTATGGACGCCGTGTTATTTTGTATGAGACGTCTTTAACAATTTTCTCCTTATAGACGCAACAGACAGAAGTAAGATTAGTAGCGATCAAAAGCGCTTTTTTATCGCATTAAGCCTATACCCCCTTTTATTTTTCGCGAACACTCCCTTTAACATGGTTGGTTCCACTTAAAATTGTATTCAATGTTTCAAGATTTGAGCCGGCGCTCAATTGAAACCAGTTTTTGGCGGTTCAGTGACGCGGTTTAAATTCTTTAAATCTATTAAACTGCTTTACACTGTAAAGTAATTGTAATTCGAATGTGTTTTTTCTGTAGATATAGTATAGTATTTTTAAGTTGATAAAGTTAAAACTAGAAACCTTTTTAAACCGTCTCCCAAAGCATCAAGTGCGATATCAATATAAAAATGTTAAAATGATAAATAGATGCATCAAAATTTTTCTTCTGTTTGACGGAGAAAATGTTGACATTTATGTGTTTTTTTATAAATTGTTGAAAACATTTTATTCTGTTTTATGTCAATACACAACCCTTGAATCTAAAGAAAAGAGAAAAAATAATAATTTATATTTGAAAAAAACATAGATTTAGAAGAAAAAAACCCGCAATTTTACCTTGCAATATGTCTACATTTAATGATAAAAACAGAGCAAATAATGAATAAAAATGACTTTTTGAAGCAAGAGCAGAAAAGCTGAGAAAATAAATTTTACATATTGTTGTCAATCGAAGGATTAAATTTTGAGTTTTGTAAAATATTTTGTTATTAATAAAGCCCAGCTATCAAAACATGAGAAATCTATCACTGTTCTGTTTTTCTCTTATCAAAATATATAAAATAATTCATCATATGCCAGAGTATTTCTAGATTTTGAATTTAATGTTAAACATTAAATATACGTATACATCTTTTCATCAAATGTTATCTTATGATGTATAAAAAATATGACGTATTGTGAAAATATATGGTTTAAAATTATTAGACATTTTTGTTTAAATAATTGATAAAAATCAATATCTTTATTTGAGATAGACGGTTTTCGTGATTCAGCACATAAAAGGAAGTCATAAAATAATATTTGATCAAAGTAAAAAAGTTTTTTTATTTTTTTTTTATTTCGTGCTGCATAAAATTAGAAAGAATTTTTCAAATAATGAATTTATTTTTGAATTTGTAAAAAGATTATTTATATTTTTGTCTCAACTTCCGAAATCGGCGAATTATGTATGTAATTAGCTAGATATATATGTGTGTTTGTTACCATCAGCCTAAACATGTAACGTAAATAGAACATGTTACATATGTGCCCTTAAGACAAACAAGGTGGTCAAATATTGGACGATTTTGACAACACACGGGCAACGTTGGCACTTGAGCTAGTATTACATATTACACAAATTACACGTTTCTAATAAATTATTTTTAAACTTGTAAACAAAATATAATAAAGAACAAAATCTGGACTTCAAAGGAAGGGGTTGAGCAGAGCTTTTCCAAAACATGAAAATATATTTTATTCAATTTATTATGAAACTGTATACAGTGCTGCAACTGGGTTCTATGTACATATATGAACCATTAGAATTAAAGAAAACATTTGTTTAAAATTCAGTAGATATAGTATAGTAGCATGTTAGATTCACAACAGTACCCTTTCAATCTAAACATTGGTCTCACAAAGAATGAATGAGATATCCTTCTATTTCTAACAGAAAATTCGAGTTGGTGTACACATTATACACTCAAATTTCCGACACTAGATTTTCAGCTAGAAAAATAAGAATATCTTCAAACGTGTGTTTCCTTTAAATCAAGTTAAAGGTCTCTTTACGAGGTCGTAAAAACTTTGTTATCCATGATTTAAGTTTAAATATGTTTGTTGTCCTTTCTCTAAACAATCGTTGTGCAGTATATTATCCCTAGACAACAAAGGAGGTCTATATAATGTCAACAATAATAAAAAAATAATTCCTGGATCCTGGATAATTCCTGTAGATCCTAGATCCTTTTACAAAAAATATCATTTTTCAAGTTTTACATATTTTGATGAATATTCAAAAGTAGGAGAAGTATCCGGTGTTGCTTTTACCAATCAGATTGTGCGGTTGTGTGAACTTACATCTTAAACCCTTGATCTCGATATCCAAAATGGACACTTTTAAATTCAAGTTGTCCTGCAGGGTATGACTACCGCGGGAATTGAACTAATCTGTAGATCTGAATAAGATGAAGATCAATGTTTGATCCCAAGATTTACAACACAAAATTCTGACTTCTGTGCCCATAAGTCTGATTATTGCCTTTGGCGGAAGACGACTTTCTCTGTTTGAATGGTTTATCTGAGAGATATGTCACCTGTCCTATGTATCCAAGGTAGGGAATTTTTTTCATAAGTTACATCTTTCTGGGTGTTACAATTTGGACAGCTATAGGTAGAGAGGAGGTAGAGAGAGGCAGAGAGAGGTAGAGAGAAGGTAGAGTGAGGTAGATAGAAGGTAAAGAGAGGTAGAGAGAAAGTAGAGTGAGGTAGATAGAAGGTAGAGAGAGGTAGAGAGAGGTAGAGAGAGGTAGAGAGAAGGTAGAGAGAGGTAGAGAGAAGGTAGAGAGAGGTAGAGAGAAGGTAGAGAGGGGTGAAAGGGGTGTAAAAGGGGGGTAGGGAGGGGAATAGAATAACTTCAAGAGGATCAGAGTGATGGTTTGTTTAGGGACGTGGAGGTGTGTGGATTTGGGAAAGACGAAAGAGAAAAACTAATTCAATTATTTTGTTTTGAAACTCGGCTAGCAGATAGAAGTAAACAGAGTGCTAAGAGCCTAAGATCCAAAGTATGTACAGCCTTGTACAATACGTAAACAATAAATACAATGTAAACAATAAATACAATGTAAACAATAAATATAATTTAAACAATAAATAAAATGTAAACAATAAATAAAATGTAAACAATAAATACATGTAAACAATAAATACAATGTAAACAATAAATACAATGTAAACAATAAATACAATGTAAACAATAAATACAATGTAAACAATAAATAAAATGTAAACAATAAATACAATGTAAACAATAGATACAATGTAAACCTTTAGTTTTTACCCTGGTTGTTTACCCATCCTGGAGTAAATAGAAAGGTTTACTCTGAATCTGTCAGTTTGATGAGAATATGATGAATTAAGACAGGATTTAATGGTTCTTCTCTCTCCTCCATATATAACCGGTATATACAATAGAGGTTTTGATAAACATAGAGTATACATGTATAATTATATCGTTATTTATGTATGTATCAACTATTACTAGCTACAGGGTTACCCAAAAAAGGACGAGACTTCAGAGACGATTGTACAGAATTTATGCAGTACAGTACTAACCCTCTGTATCCTCTGTGTACTCTAGTACTAACCCTCTGATCCCTCTGTATACTATAGTACTAAACCTCTGTATCCTCTGTATACTCTAGTATTAACCCTCTGTACCCTCTGTATACTCTAGTACAAAACCTCTGTATCCTCTGTAAACTCTAGTATTAACCCTCTGTATCCTCTTTATACTCTAGTACTAAACCTCTGTACCCTCTGTACACTCTAGTACTAACCATCTGTATCCTCTATATACTCTAGTAACATTAAATTCCTCTCTATATATTCTATTCTCTATGTATAAATCAGAGCTGCGGTTAGGGTATTTTTTTCTTTTCCTCATTTGGCTCAGATGGAACAAATCAATTTTAATTCATTAAGAAATTGTATCTAAAGCTTCAAAGAACACTAGTTTCAATCATTAAATATTACAAATTTTCAAATAGGCACAAAGGCGCTATATAAATTAATTCTTAATTACCATCCATTTTAAAATGATTTATATAAGAAACGCCAGCTGTAAGATAACTGATAAAATATTGACGACGGCGGCTGTTGAATTATTTTCTTTTTTCAAAATAAAATTAATTTATTTAATTCTAACCGAGTTTTCAGATCTGATAAACCTACGGTGATTTTTGAAAATGAAATCAAGCTTAACATGTCCCATTGGATAAAAAAGACGTTTAGACGTAATTACATTTACAGGGACCGTATAGACGTAATTACGTTCAAAGGGACTGTATACGTAATTACGCTTGCAGGGACTGTATGGACGTAATTACGTTTAAAAGGACTGTAAAGATGCAATTACAAGTAAAGGGACTGTAAAGACGTAATTACGCTTAAAGGGAATGTGGACGTAATTACGTTTAAAGGGACTGTAGACGTAATTACGCTTAAAGGGAGTGTATAGACTTAATAACGTTTAAAAGGGGCCGTATAGACGTAATTACGTTTAAAGGGACTGTAAAGAAGTAATTACGTTTAAAGGGACTGTAAGGACATAATTACGCTTAAAGGGACTGTGGACGTAATTAGGCTTAAAGGGACTGTATATAGACGTAATTCCGTTAAAAGGAACTGTAGACGTGATTTCGCTTAAAGGAACTGTATATAGGTAATTACGTTTAAAGGGACTGTATATACGTAATTACGTTTAAAGGGACTGTAAAGACGTAATTACGCTTAAAGGGACTGTAGACATAATTACTCTTAAAGGAACTGTATATACGTAATTACGTCTACAGGGACTGTATAGACGTAATTACGCTTAAAAGGGCTGAATTCACATGATTACGCTTAAAGGGGCTGTTTAGACGTAATAACGTTTAAAGGGACTGTATAGACATAATTACGTTTAAAGGGACTGTATAGACGTAATTACGTTTAAAGGGACTGTAGACTTAATTACTCTTAAAGTAACTTCATATACGTAATTACGTTTAAAGGGACTGCATAGACGTAATTACATTTAAAGGGACCGTATAGACATAATTACGTTTAAAGGGGCTGTAGACATGATTACGCTTAAAGCGACTGTATAGACGTAATTACGTTTAAAAGGACTTTAGACGTAATTACGCTTATAGGGACTGTATATAGACATAATTACGCTTAAAGGGACTGTTTATGCGTAATAACAATCAAAGGGATTGTAGACGTAATTACTCTTAAAAGACTGCATATACGTATTTACGTTAAAAGGGACTGCATAGACGTAATTACGTTTAAAGGGACCGTAAAGACGTAATTACGTTTAAAGGGACTGTAGAAGTGATTACGCTTAAAGTGACTGTTTAGACGCAATTACGCTTAAAGGGACTGTGTAGACGAAATTATGTTTAAAGGGACTGTAGACGTCTATATAATTACGCTTACAGGGACTGTATAGACGTAATTACGTTTAAAGGGACTGTAGAGGTAATTACGCTTACAGGGACTGTATAGACGTAATTACGTTCAAAAGGACTATATAGACATATTTACGTTTAAAGGGACTGTAGACTTTATTACGTTTAAAGGGACTATAGACATAGTTACATGTGAAGGGACTGTATAGACGTAATTACGTTTAAAGGGACTATAGACATAGTTAAGTTTGAAGGGACTTTATAGACGTAATTACGTTTAAAGGGACTGTATAGACGTTATTAAGTTTAAAGGGACTATTTAGACGTAATTACGTTTAATGGGACTGTAGGCTTATTTACAAATGACCCTCCACCTGTAGACTGGTGTTTCCAAATTACAACAGAACCCTTAAACCATTAACAGATCAAGGATGACGGACTTATCCTTATTTTTTATTTTTAAAAGCTTTGTTTGCAAACTGTTTCATATTTAACAAATATTTAGTTTCCAGAATTTAAAGTAACAGCAAATGAATATTTTCATTTAAATGTTTGAAAACCGCATTGGCCATAGACTATTTGATAATTTTTGAGAAGATAATATGTAAAGTTATCCTGTAAGCTAGCTTACATTTCATTTATTTGCAATTTAAACACTTTTTTAGAAATAAACACATGCAGAGTAAACATTTCTCGCGTTCATTTAGGGTCACTTGAAATTACGTTAACAGTCCTTTTAAAGTTTTAAAAATCAAAAATTTACTTTGTTTGCATGAGAAGTTTGAAAATACTAGAAATTCAAGGCGCTTCGCGCCCTTCTTTCTAGGCTTTTAGGGCGCTTCGCGCCCATCTTCTATTTAAATTGTGAACATGTTCTTTTTGTTTACATTTAAAAACAAAGAAGAAAAAGAAAAAATTTTGCGGATTTTTAAAACACATTTTTTTAAATTTTTATCATTCATAAACCTTCCCTGTGGTCACGTGATGTCCCACAAAAAATTTGGGCCCGATCGGTTTAGCCGTTTTGACGTTTATTGGATACAAACAAACAAACAAACAAACAAACAGACAAGCCAAATTTATATATAGATTTAGATATATATTTAAAATGTCTAAACAACGAAAACCATTTTAAAGCTCAGGCTATGCCATAAAATCTGTAAAAAACTAAAACACTTTTGTAGATTTTCCAAAATTATTTTAAATTAAATTTTGCTTTTGATAAGATGAAAGGTTTTACTTAAACCATTGGATCGGAAATATTGATTATGTATTTTTATGTAATAAACACATTAATCGGTTTAAAATTGAGGCTCTAGCCTCTATAGCATCAACAACTAGCTGTTTTTTTTAGAAAACACTATAACGAAGTGTTCAATAAACTAACCTTTACAATAATTTGAGAGAATAATTATAGAAAATTAAATTCTTAACAATGTTAAAATTTTTTGAACCATTTATGTCAACTACGCATGGGGCAGATGAGAACGGGGAGGAGACGGTCTTGAGAATGGGAACGCATGAGAAGGGGGGAGATGGTCTAGAGCATGGGAAGGCAGGAGAAGGGGGGGATGGTATAGAGAATTAGGGGAGGGAGGGGGGTAGAAGGGGAAGATAATGTTAGAAAATATAAAATTTCAATTATTTACCTTTTCTTGCCAAAAAACTAGAGTTTACGTCATCACTTAAATTCAATACTCAAAAATTTTTCACACTTTCACAATTTATCTTTTCATTACCATTTCACATTTACGGTTCTAACTGTACAATTCTTATAATTCACACTTTGAGTAAAGAAAAGTCATTTGTACAGTTTTTTAACTGAATATGGTTAGGGGGTTAACAAAACAACTTTTTTTTAAATTGTGAGTATCATAGATTTGAGAAAAGTACATACACGGAGCGTGTGTTTAACCGAACCTTGAGATCTCTGGTAAACTACTGAGGAGTGAGGAGAGTTCTCTTCTGAATTCTCATACCGATACAGAGAGAGAGCGAGATAGCAGAGAGAGAGATCGGATTGAGAGGATCGGAGAGAGGTTGAGAGAAGTAATTTCTTCGGGATACTGCGGGAACAGGACGGACGTATCTTTACACAGTACGGAGAGTGAACACTGAACAGGGTTACCCACAAAATAAATGTACAGGAGCTTGACAAGGAATAGCTTGGGAACCAAGGTTACCCATAATTACTCCCGCCGTTTACCCAACTTGGTCGATTTTACCGGATAACTAAATTTTCGAAATAATAGTCGACCCACTTCACAATATCAAAATCAAACAAGACCATTCTATGGCCGGCTCTCTCGAGTTCCCCAATAAAAAATTGAGGCAAATTGGTCCAGGGGTTACTGAGTTATGATCGTACAAGCAAACAAACAGACTTACAGACAAACAGAGAGTACAACTTTATATACATAGGTGTATACAAGGATGTAATGCAAGGAAAGTTATTTCAGAAGTGTACACATCTTTTGTACTGCAGTGTACTGTCTCTGGGCGGTAATGTAAACACAAGACGGATGTCAAAGCCTGACATGGGATCCATCTTTCACATAAAAAATCAATGAAATATTCTGGTCTTGGGAAACTATTATGTGAATTATCAAAATTATCAAAATTTAATGCTTTTAACCTCCTCATGCATATAGATACTAAACGAACACTGATGGATCTAATCTTGTTTACAAATTCCCCCCAAAGAGAACTGGTTTCATGTGTACGCAGGGTATACACGACCGCAATTACCTTTCCTTGCATTGGGTGTATAGAAGCTCATCCTAAGAAGAACTGATTTTTAATATTTATATTCAAGAAAGGACGTTTATACAGAGATCCTAATAACTATAAAACTATCAAGACCCGGTCAACTTTGTCGCGCGCGTCGCTACGCTTTTGCCTTTGGGTTTTCCCCACCAAAATCTACTTATACAATACATTTGAAAACTGTAAATCGCTGGTTTCTAGCTTTAGTTTTTAAAAGAAGATATTGGCAACATCTTTATCGATTTCTGCGTGAGATAGTCAATAATTTAAATATTAATCTCATTAGAAGGAGATGATGATTCAGTTGGTGTACTGTCCCGATTTGCCGGCTATAAGTCTGTTCGTATACTGTACAACTAGCTCTCTACTAGCTAGCTGCCGATAAGTCGGTTACATGGTACATATCAAAATAAACCAGACTTGTCAGTATTTAGTTCACAGTGTTCATTATATTTTCCAGATTTATTAGATACTAGCTCATGAACCCATGAAAAAAAATCTAATTTTGAAAAAAAAAATTACATGAAATACAAATCTACTTTTTAGCCTATGTTAACTTCAGGGTACACATGGCACCCCGGATTAACCAGAGTGAGAAGCATTCGGTTTCATCTATTTGAAATTAAACGTGTTTTGGTCTATGAGGCACCAATCTTTTAATTTACGGATTTGGTGTTCTATACTTTTCACTCAAAATGTATATGCCGACTAAAAAGTATTTAAGAATAATGGCTAAAAAATTATGTTTAATGGGTCAAATTGTGATCGAAAGTCACAGTTATCGGGAGTATTGGCAGAACCTTTAAATCCACGTGATGGGTTTCCCACAATAAATGTCACTCAATTTGGTCCAGCGGTTTGTATATACAAATCAAATATATGTAAATGAGCAAAGAGCTTCATTATATAGAAATTAAATTATGAAAACATGAATACAAAAACACAAAAGTATATCGTCTGTCTTTACTTGAATGTTAACGAAATTAAACAAAAAAAAACAATTTTTATTTAAAAAAAGAATCCATATTGGAAAGAATAAATGCTACTCTATATAGATATTTATCATTAAGATATATTATAGTTGTAGTAAAAAGGTAAATAAATATATAAGTCAGTTCAGAAACAATCAATCCTTTCAAGTTCAATTCATTTTTAGTAAATGTGTTTTTAGTTCAATGTAATAATTCTAGGTAAATTTATATTTCTATATATTTCCCAATATAATCCAATATCTTAACTTGTTCTAACATTTTCAATATTCCAATTTATATTCAATTCCAATATCTAAATATATTCCAATATCTCAATTTATTCCAATATTTTCAATATATTCAAATATTTTCAATATATTCAAGTATTTTCAATATATTCAAGTATTTTCAATATATTCCAAAATTTTCGATATATTCCAATATTTTCATTATATTCCAATATTTTCAACATATTCCAATATTTTCAATATTTTCCAATATCTCAATATATCCAATCTCCAAATATTCCAATATCTCAATATATTCCAATATTTCAATATATTTCCATATTACCCCCTGCAGCTGATTAAAGTATAAAATTGATAATGTTTAGCGTAAAAAGTAAAATATTGGTTTAAAGGTTTATTGGTAAAACCAACACTGCTGCTTAAATGAAGAGAGCCTTTAATTACCTTTCAATATTTATATATAAACTACATTTACAGGGGGGACTTCACACCCAGTTTACTTTAATTACCTTTCATATATAAACTACATTTACAGGGGGGCTTCACACCCAGTTTACTTGTACTAATTCAACCTTTTTATTGCTTATTTTTCGGCAAGCCTTTCGTATGTTTGATAATAGACGGAAATTTTTGTTTTTATCGCCGAATTTTCAAATATTTTATACATTGAATTTTAAACTTTTTTAAACATTTTTAAACTGCAGCCAGATTTCTATAATTCTGACCATTAAGAACTCTTTTTTATACCGTTATGAGAGTAATAAATTTTTATTTTTTTTCAGTTTGGTTCAGCCGTTTTGATGTTTAAGGATACCAACAAACAATCCAAGCCTGATCCAATCAGGGTTTAGTCATGTGTTTGGTGTCTAGTCTGAACCAATAGAAATTGCATGGCGGTAACGTCTATTTTTCTATCTAGCTCATAATCCAATTAGAGATAGATTCTTATATCGGCGCTATAACAGTAAATGGAAATATTTACTTCTTCTGAAACTATGGTGATGATAGGTTTAAGATATATAATATATTTGTATCTATATAGCTTAAATCATGCTGTTAAATTATTATATCTATTGTCTTCTGAGCTATACATACATATGCGCATACATATACAATATACAATATACATATATTAAATAATCTAATGCTTGCAGGGTTAGAAAAAAATATTTAATTTTCGGTGGGTATTTTGAATATTATTTCAAAACAAATTCTGTTATACTATATTTATTAATCCTCTCAAAAATTTATTCAAAATATCATAATTTTGGTGTACCCTTAAAAAATTTATCATAAATTTAAATTTTAAGAACTTGCACACTGAGTTTTCTTCATTTATATCCCCAGGTGATCAAATAGGTCGGTTTTATCAATCTATACAATAAGGAATTAATAAAAATATTCGCCGATAATAATTTGGCGGAATCTGCAAAATGTATGAAATCGGAATGATTGGCGGCTTCTTTCTTTCTTTCGCGTAAACTGAATTGGGGTATGACTGATATTAAATTAAATACGATCTGAGTGGAATAATGCAACTTCGTGGAATTATATGGGTCCTTCGATCTTGGGTATAAGATGTTTTTTTCAATCTTTTCTCCTTGTTTACGCTGCACGCAACAGATAAAAGTAAAATTAGTAGCAATCGATATCGAATTCACTTAGATTTTAGCCTATAGCCCCTTTCAATTTTCCCCTTCAATACTCTCAAACCCTAATTTTCTATTGCTTATTTCTTGGTAACCTGATATCGTAATATCGTAGACCCTTGATATTTCAAACGACGAATTTTATAAGTTCAGTGGTAAAAGATTGAAAAATCAAAGGTCTACGACATCAGGTTGCAAAGATATAGGGATTGAAATATTAGAGTGATGAGGCGAGAAATCAGTTTCTTTGCTAATGATTTTTTTTCTATTTTTAAAAAAAAAATTATTTTTTCTTTGCAATTTCATAATTAAATTGTTAAAAATTCTCAAAGTTTTATTTTAAAGGAATTTAATCAACTTTCAAAACAACACTAAAGCTGTTAGACTATTTTCAACTTTATAATCATTTTAATTCAATTTAATCTCAGAGAGAATAAAACGAGATTTAAGGATTTAAATAATTAGAAAAATGCATAAATTCATTTATTTTAACATGAGTGTACAGTACACCTGGCAATAGCTGATTCGTTTTTCTGAAACTTAACATTTTTTTGATTCATGTTTCAGTTCTATTTTTTATTTGGCTGCTTTAGCTAGTTGTTAAGTTCATTTTTTTTACAGAATACATTTTCGATAATCATATTTTCATAAAATTCGGAATAATAAAAAATGTTGTCTAAAATCGCTTATTCATAGTTCCTTTAAACATTATGATATTCCCACTTTACCTTCTCAAGTGCATGCAGAATAAAATTGGAATCTCTGTTTGTTTGGTCGTTTGGATGTCCGATCATAACTCAGGAACCCCTTGACTGATTTGACTTAAATTTTGATTGGGTAGCTCTAATACTATTATAGGGGAAAATAGCTATATAATATATAAAGTAGTAATCTCTGTTTGATTGTTTGGATGTCCAATCATAACTCAGGAACCCTTTGCTCTGTATGCCTCCAATTTTTGATTGATGAACTCGTTTGAACCATGGGGGACTCCTCTTGACTAGGTTAAGTTAAGTTTTCCGTCCGAGCTGGGTTCCACAGCTAGTTTCTGAATAAAAGAGAGAAAACTGTTTCTAATATCTATCTATCAATTTAATGTTGTGAACTAGATGCAAACAGGGGCGTACGAGGGCTTTTGTGTAGGGGGGCACAATTAATTGGGCAAACAAGATATTATCATAAACAAACAAACAATTATATTTAAACTCAAATATTCACTCTAATCGAGGATTTTAACATTTTAAAATAGATTAGAGATAGGAGATATAGAAGGAGAGAGGGGGTAGGACCCCTTCCATTATTGCATTATCAGATACTAGCTCAAATGCTCGGCGTTGCCCAAAGAAAAAAATTGTTTTAAATTGAAATAATGATTTTTTTAGCCTATATTACCCCCGGGATACCCCTGGGTTTCCTCAAAAAAAGTTC